ATCTGGTGTACCGTCTGGCACGGAATTGGACGTTGATTTGGCGGTTAGAGGCTGAGCCTCACTTATGGCCATCTGTGGACAGGACATGATGGTGGTCAAGTGTGTGTGTGTGTGGCAATCTGCGTTGGGAAGAGCGGTCGAATTTGGAACAAGTTACTGATTTGACGCGGTGTAGCACGATAGGTTCCACATAAGCAAGGATTGTTCACAACGGCCTCGGAGTCAAAAGACTACCGAAGTCCAGTATGTCCTCCTCACACGGCAGATCAGATAGGATACACACGGGTGAAGTTCGATAAATGCGGTTGCTTGTGTTTGTTTGTTCGAGCAAATAATTTAGTCTATTGTATGATTGGGATTTTCGTGCGATGCGTTTGTATCTACGTACAACGTGATCGGTTCACACGACCCGTACAAACTATCGCCTGTCCGACCCACACGAACACAGGCATTGTTGCACACACGCACGCACACACACACACGCCCGTATCCGTACACGCGAGGGCCGGCCCGCCTGGCAAACGAACAAGACCTAGTGATTTTCTGATGGTCAAGCTATTGGTTGACCTCGTTGCTACATCCATGCGCCATTCGCCCTTGGGCTTGACAATTCTGAATCTATTCGTGGACAAACAGACCTGAATGAGACAGACAGGCGAAACGCAGACAGTTCCTCCCTCGCGAACACTCGGTCACACAAAACGACGTATGTATGCATATGGTAAAGATGATCATGCCGATGAATGATATGCGGCAACCTGAAGGAACACATTGAACATCCGTAACCATCTTGAATAGATGCACGCATACAATCATACGTCGAACATGTTTTGAGCTGTGAGCCCTGGGGGACAGGTGTTTAGTGTGATGTATACGTTTACATAGTCTTCCGCTTATCCGAGTGGACCGTGGGAACTCCGATGCTTGTTGATTGCAAAACGTTTATCGGATGGAATAGCGGACGTCACCTTAAAGTTGATATTGATGTCAAGGTCACATTATGCAGGCGCTAATAAATACTAATAACCTGGACACACTAATCCATTCCTACTTGCCTCCAAATGTTTATGCGGACTAGGAAATTCACACGAATTAAATGACCCTCTCCCTTGTCCCCGGGATCAACATGGATAATATGCAAACCGACAAACATGATATCTCTCGGTTAACTTATACGGAAGTTGAATAATAAAATGAAAACCAATTTTATCGGGACCGCACCATTTGTATGATAACGTGTCCGTGATAAAGCTTGCCCGGAATCGATCAAATCTTTCTCTTTTTTTAGACAGGGAACTGGTGATAATGCGTCCCACATGTTGATTGTGTCCTTTCTCCAAATTCGTTCGTTTCCTTCTTCTTGTTCCTCAAACTCCGCATGTTTTCAGCAATTCTTTGAACCACTGGGGGG